GCGGGGGCTGAGATGGGCACATCTTTCAGTGTCACATTTTTCTGTGATGGTGTCAGACTCAGGAGGGAGACAGAGTGGTGGGCTCTCCTGGGTGCTATATGTTACTAGGAGAAGGCCTTTCCCAAAGACTGTTCTCTGATTATTACTTCTCATTTCTCACCCCACCCCCCAAAAGATACACTCAAGAACCTCAGAATGTGACCTGACTTGGAAATAAGGTCATCGTTAATGACCTTATTGATTTAACATGAGGTCACACTGAAGCAGGGTGTGCTTCTAATGTAATATGACTAGTATCCTAATAAGAAGAGGAGAAAGAGAAGACATGGCCATGTGAAAATAGATGCAGAAAGAATACCATGTGATGAGGGAGGCAGAGACTGGGGTGATGCAGTGACAAGCCAAGGAGCACCAGGGCTGCCAGTGACACCAGAAGTTGAGAGAAGGGCAAGGAACAGATTCTCCCCTGCAGCCTTCAAGGTAGCACAGCCCTGCAGACACCTTGGTTTTAACCTTCTGGCCCCCAAAACTGTGAGAATATATTTCCATCATTGTAAATTACCCAGTGTGTGAATGTCTATTGTGGGAGCCCTAGGAAATGAACACAGGCCTCATTGGCTGGAACTTGAGTCACACCCCCTCAACTGCTGGCAAATCAACATTGGTGAAGTGAACTTGACTGGGTGACTGTGCCACAGTCAACCATGGTTCATCAAGGGGGCTGAGTGCCTTGCTTCCGGGACAAACCCAGGTTCTTAGAGACTAAAGAAGAGGGGATGCTATGATACATCAAGTCTAACACACACATTTAGAATATGAGAAGAGTGAGGCCCCCAGCTTCCTCCACCTCCTGCATGGCAGCCTCCTCCCTGTAGGTGTGTGACGGCTCTGACCACGCCTCATCTTTGTCTTGTGATTCTGTTTCATACCGATTCCAGAAGATCGCTAAGCAAAAGCTGACTGGAGCCACAGTAAAAGGCGTCTATTGTCAGAGCCTTCATGCATCCCAGCTCACCCAGGAGATTATAAGAAGGGCTGAGGGACATCCTTGGTGGTCCAGGGCTAAGACTCAACACTCTCAAAGCAGAGGGCCCAGATTCTATCCCTGGGTCAGGGCACTAGATCCCACATGCAGCAATGAAGAGTTCACGTGTGCATGTGAGCTCCGTTGCCTCAGTCGTGTCCAACTCTTCATGACCGTGTGGACTGTAGCACGCCAGGCTCCTCTGTCCATGGGATTCTCCAGGCAAGAATACTGGGGTGAGTTGCCATGACTTCCTCCAGGGGATCTTCTCGACCCAGGGATCAAACCTGTGTCTCCAATGTCTCTTGCATTGGCAGGGGGGTTCTTTACCACTAGCGCTACCTGAAAAGCCTGAGTTCACATGCTACAACTAAAATAAATCCCCATGCCGCAACAGAGACCAAAGATCCTGCAGGCCACAGCTAAGACCCTGCAAAGCCAAATTAATAAATATGTTTCTTTAAAATAAAATAAAAGATAAAAGAAGAACTGAGAGGCCTGGGTGTGACTCAACCTGGATGAGAGATGGATTTGGAAGACACAGCTTGACCTGCAGCTTTCTAGAAGCTGGATTCTCAATAAATGCTGAGGTTGCTCAAGGGACAGAAAATGGGGAGGAACAGAAAAAGAACATGAGATTTTAGGATGAAAACACACTTGGTCTGTCCCCTTGGGGTCCTGGCTTCAGGAGAAGGCCGCCTCATGAAGAGCCAGATAAACACAAATATCAAGGAAAAACAATTCTACTGCAGCCACAACTATTACAGCATCTCATGAGCATCTCATGCCCACCTTAACTGAGCTTTCCCCCACAGGCCCCTCATTTTGCTCTTCAATAGAAAGTATTTCCATTTGCCCAGTTGTCCAAGCCACAGTCATGGGTGTCACCCTTAACCCCTGCCCTCCCCTCCTTCACTAATCAGGCACCATGTCCTGCCAACATCTGTGCTAAATACTCCTGAAACCCTGCATGTCTCCTGGCACTTCCCTCCACCATCCTTGCTTGCTGAGATTACTACGACGGTCTCCTTACTAATCTGCCTGCCTCCAATCTTCCCTCTCCATTCCTTCTGTCCATATTCCACCCAGTTGGAACAGTCTTCCAGAAACCCAGATCCAATCATGTCACAGCTCAAAACAATTGCAATCCCTTGCACCCCATGGCTTTTGTATAATGTCCAATCTTCCTGACTTTCTTCCAAGGCCCTTCATGACCTCCCTCCTTTTTCTCCTGAAAGCATCTCTCCTCATGCTTCCCCTGACCCCCCAGCCCCTCATCTCCATGTTTCACAAAGCCACTCTCCTCACTTCCTCCAGCCAACACACTCTCTTGAGCCCCCCTAACATTGGTGAAGTGAACTTGACTGGGTGACTGTGCCACAGTCAACCATGGTTCATCAAGGGGGCTGAGTGCCTTGCTTCCGGGACAAACCCAGGTTCTTAGAGACTAAAGAAGAGGGGATGCTATGATACATCAAGTCTAACACACACATTTAGAGTATGAGAAGAGTGAGGCCCCCAGCTTCCTCCACCTCCTGCATGGCAGCCTCCTCCCTGCAGGTGTGTGACGGCTCTGACCACTCCTCATCTTTGTCTTGTGATTCTGTTTCATACTGATTCCAGAAGATCGCTAAGCCAAAGCTGACTGGAGCCACAGTAAAAGGCGTCTATTGTCAGAGCCTTCATGCATCCCAGCTCACCCAGGAGATTATCAGAAGGGCTGAGGGACATCCTTGGTAGTCCAGGGCTAAGACTCAACACTCTCAAAGCAGAGGGCCCAGATTCTATCCCTGGGTCAGGGCACTAGATCCCACATGCAGCAATGAAGAGTTCACGTGTGCATGTGAGCTCCGTTGCCTCAGTCGTGTCCAACTCTTCATGACCGTGTGGACTGTAGCACGCCAGGCTCCTCTGTCCATGGGATTCTCCAGGCAAGAATACTGGGGTGAGTTGCCATGACTTCCTCCAGGGGATCTTCTCGACCCAGGGATCAAACCTGTGTCTCCAATGTCTCTTGCATTGGCAGGGGGGTTCTTTACCACTAGCGCTACCTAAAAAGCCCGAGTTCACATGCTACAACTAAAATAAATCCCCATGCCGCAACAGAGACCAAAGATCCTGCAGGCCACAGCTAAGACCCTGCAAAGCCAAATTAATAAATATGTTTCTTTAAAATAAAATAAAAGATAAAAGAAGAACTGAGAGGCCTGGGTGTGACTCAACCTGGATGAGAGATGGATTTGGAAGACACAGCTTGACCTGCAGCTTTCTAGAAGCTGGATTCTCAATAAATGCTGAGGTTGCTCAAGGGACAGAAAATGGGGAGGAACAGAAAAAGAACATGAGATTTTAGGATGAAAACACACTTGGTCTGTCCCCTTGGGGTCCTGGCTTCAGGAGAAGGCCGCCTCATGAAGAGCCAGATAAACACAAATATCAAGGAAAAACAATTCTACTGCAGCCACAACTATTACAGCATCTCATGAGCATCTCATGCCCACCTTAACTGAGCTTTCCCCCACAGGCCCCTCATTTTGCTCTTCAATAGAAAGTATTTCCATTTGCCCAGTTGTCCAAGCCACAGTCATGGGTGTCACCCTTAACCCCTGCCCTCCCCTCCTTCACTAATCAGGCACCATGTCCTGCCAACATCTGTGCTAAATACTCCTGAAACCCTGCATGTCTCCTGGCACTTCCCTCCACCATCCTTGCTTGCTGAGATTACTACAACGGTCTCCTTACTAATCTGCCTGCCTCCAATCTTCCCTCTCCATTCCTTCTGTCCATATTCCACCCAGTTGGAACAGTCTTCCAGAAACCCAGATCCAATCATGTCACAGCTCAAAACAATTGCAATCCCTTGCACCCCATGGCTTTTGTATAATGTCCAATCTTCCTGACTTTCTTCCAAGGCCCTTCATGACCTCCCTCCTTTTTCTCCTGAAAGCATCTCTCCTCATGCTTCCCCTGACCCCCCAGCCCCTCATCTCCATGTTTCACAAAGCCACTCTCCTCACTTCCTCCAGCCAACACACTCTCTTGAGCCCCCCAGATCTTTGAGTCTGCAGCTGAGTCTCCCGTGTCACCTGATCTTTCTCTTCTCTGATGAACATCTGTGCATATTTCAGGCTTAGATACCACATCTTGTGGGAAAATCTCCTAGAACCCCTCCACTCCAGTCTGGTTTGAGTTGAGCCCCCTTGCCCTTCCCTGGTCTGCTGTGTGTTGCACGGTGTCTGACCCCCACAGGCCTCCCCTGTCCCCTGGCTCCTCAGACAGGGACGTGGAGGGCAAGAGAAAGGCACAGGGCCGACATGTCTTTCCTCCGTCTCTGCCTAAGGGACCCGGGGCAGCAGCGCCCCCTGCAGGACTCTGGCTCTCACTGTGATACACTCACTATGGATCCACTTTCAACTTGGAACCCTAAAGGGGTCTCATCACATTGCCCCCACCCTTTACCCCTGTAGTGGAATAGTAGCTGCTTCCTGCCATTGCTAATTTCCAGGTCAGTTGATCCCTTCTATCACCTTTTAGCCAATTTTCTCTATTAAATTGCTGCAGTTATAAATATCTAAGTGACTTTGGTTTTCCTGGTTCCACCCAGCTCGCATAGACCTTCCCCATAGAACAGCTCACTGCACTTCCGTAACGGTCCCCATTCACCCTGAACTCTAAGGGCCAGTTTACAGGTCTATTCTGCCCTAAGGCGAGTGTTTCTAGAGCACAGGGACCATCTCTGCTGACTGGCCATTGTATCCTTAAAACAATGCTCGGACACAGTGACTATCAAACAATGCTCGGACACAGTGACTATCTAATTAACACGTGAGTGAGTGAATGAATGAACCAGTAAATTTCATGCTGAGTTTCTTATCCATCCTACCAGCTGCCTGTTAAGTTCATTTTCTCTTCCTCCATCTTGCAAACCTCCTTTCTTGAAGAAAATAATCCCTTCTGCTTGGTCCTTACCCTGCAGGCTTCCTCTCTGCTTTACTTTGGTAAGTCAGCAGAAGTAATACTGAGTAAACAGTCCAAAGACCCAGACTCATCCAGACTGCCCACTTCCCCAGCGTATCTCCCGGACAGGGGTCTCAGCCAAGGCTGTTGGCCAGAGGGAGCAAAAGAGTTACAAGGTATGGGGGACTGCACAAAGCCGGGTGATGGAATTCCAGCTGGGGCTAGAATCATGGCTCCTGTGGGAAGCTGCCTCCTGGTACCATGGAGGGTGCATCTGGAGGGAGCCTGGTGAAGAGAAAGGTCCCCTTCCCAGGGATCTGAGCCCCTGGAGGCTGTCCTGCATCCCAGCTTCACTAGAGTCAGGTGGGGATGCAGAGACAGGAAGATGCCTGGCTGCCTGGCTTTGTTCCCAGATGTGGGCTGAGTGGAAAGGCCATGCATGGTTTGGCAGCCTAGCGCGGGAGGGGGTGGAGTGCCAGGTAGAGGGAGGGAAGCGCAGGCACTGACCCAGGACGACGGCTGTGGTCTGAGCTGCTGTTTTCCCTCCCTCCTTCCTAAGCCCACGCATCACACTTCAATCAGCTCTGAGGATCTTTGCGGCAGCAGGAGACAGACGGGCTGTAGAGACACAGAGCACCCAGCCACGCCTTCCTGGCCTGTACACTGATTGGACGGTGACGAGCAGCAGCAGCTTTCTCTTCATAAGCAGTAGAATCTGTTTCCAGAGCCCAGCCAAGAGTCTGCAGGCAGGAGGGAGGGCAGTGAGACACTCAGTCAAAGGCTCAGGATCGGGGGTCTTGATTTGTCCATCCCTCTGCCTCCAAGATGAAGCGACTGAGCGCACACGCATTGCCTCCAAGAAGAACTTCAAAGATTCCAGCCTAGACAGGCTCTGTTGATTTTACCAAGGTAATGAGATGCCCCAAATGGTAAAGTGCAGGTCACACATGTCTCAGGCAGGAGAGGATTCAGTGGAAGGGGAATCTAGACAGATCCTTCTCCACATGCCAGCTGGAAGTCATCTTGGAAACTGGATCCCCCATGGGGTGGGGAGGAATTGGTAAGGCAGAGGGAGCCCTGAACAGTGGGGTAAGGGGTGGAGTGGAGTGAGGGGACCCTAAGGGCAGTGCTGCTGGGGAGGTGAGACCCACAAGCACCTACCACTTACTGAGTGGGTCCCAGGCTCCAGGAGCGGTGCTAGGCACTTTTAGTCATCCCACATTTTATCTTTAAAATAGCCCTCTGAGCTTGTTGCTATTGGCCTTATTTTGCAAAGGAGGGAAACCAAAGATCAGAGAAGCGAAGAGACTCTAAAGGGTCACACAGCTAGGTGTGAGCAGCCCAGTCAGGCTCGGAAATGGGATCTGTTTCCCTGCTATGCAATGACATCTATGCCCTGATCCACCAGGGTGCTGCCCAGGGCTGGACATGGGCCACAGCTCCCTGAGAGCTAGCAGAGAGGCAGCTCTAGAGTCAAAGAAGCAGAACTTTCCAGGTGGTCTAGTGGTTAAGACTTTGCCTTCCAACACTAGGGGGAGTGGGTTCAACCCCTGGCTTGGGGAGCTAAGATTCTGCATGCCTCTGGGCCAAAACATAAAGCAGAAGTAATATTATAAAAAATTCAGTAAAGACTTTAAAAAGTGTTAAACATTAAAAAAAGTAAAAAGAAAAACAATTTCTTAATTAAGAAAGGAAATAAAGTCAATGATGCTGGGTGCAGGAATCCCAAGGATCTGATTCCACCTGTTGGAGGACTTCACTTAGGGCGCATGGTGGCCCAATACTCTCACCTGAGGTTTCCAACGTCTTTCTTGGTTATTAAGGCGGACTGAGGTCCAGTTTCGCCTCCATCCCTGCATCCTCACAGTAACTCAGTGCTTGGCCAGCTCCCCAAGCATCTTCTCCACCATCCCCTGCACTTCCTGAGCTCAAACCCTTGTTGTCTCTCACCTGGCCCAGCTGGGCAGCCTCCTGCCTCTGACCCATCTTCCATGCAGCTGTCACCACAATTCTTCTCAAAGACAAGTACAAACTCTTCCTCACAGCATGTGAGATCTATCTCCCTGACCAGGGATTGAATCTGGGCTCCCCGACATTGGGAATGCGGAATCTTAGCCACTGGACCATCAGGGAAGTCCCCTGGTCATAGCACTTTCTAAAGTAACTCTGCCAGCACCCTTTTGCCTTTGGGGTAAAGCCCGAGTTCCATCATCTTACATTCCAGCCTCTCCCAAACTTGATCTCCTCTCCCCGGACATCCATCTCCAAATCCTCCATGCTTCCTGGAGCTGGGGGCCTGCCTGTTCTCCTGAACGTGCCTTGCATTTCCACACTTTCTGCCTTTGCTCCTGTTCCCTCGCCTGGGTCGACTTCCCTGGCCTTGGTTTTTTCCCCTCGGCAAAATGTCACCTTTCCGGCCCAATTGAAATGTCAGATGCTCTGTGAAGCTTTCTCCAGCATCTTCTCCTCCGTGCTAACTGCTCCCCTGCAGACTCCTGAGTCTGTGATGAAGATGATGATGATAAGCAAATTAATAACAGCTAACACTGTGGAACATTCACTGTGTGCCAGGCGCTGTTCAAAGCTCTTCTCATGTATTAATGCTTTTAATCCTCATAAGGACTCTAGGTGGTGGGTGCTATACCATCCCCATTTTGTAGATGGAGAAGGAAGGCCCAGAGAGGTTAAATCATCTGCCCAAGGTTGCACAGCTGGGGAGTAGAGAGGAGCCAGCATCCAAGCGCAACAATGTGATCCAGAGCCTGTACTCTTTAGCACTCCTCAAGGCCCCTCCAGAACACTCATGAAGGGAGTATCTGACAGCACCTCTAGAGGAGCAATGCTCATAGAGATCATCACTCACTTGTCCCCCCTGCCCCGCGCCCGCCCTGCCCCTGTAGGCCTGAGAGCTCCCTGAGGTCTCTGTATGTTTTTTGTCTAGCCCCACACAGAGGACAGGAATGAATGAGGCATACGTTGGCAAAACAAATGAATGATGTGTCCATCATTACACCACTCTACCTGAGTCACCACAGGAGAGAGAAAAAGCCCCCCAAAGGATGCCCCAGTTGTGAGATGACCCACTTCCCTGCTGTCTCCCAGGCAGGTGAGAAATGAGGCCAGGGACAGTGTCCTCTGTTAGGGCCCTTCATGAGGCTCTGTCCACGGGGTAAGGGCAGGGCTCACACATCCCTTCACTGCCCCTTCCACTAGGGCTCTGGTTAGGGGCAAGAACTACCTTTCCCCCTCCCCCCCACAAATATCTAGACCCCTGGTAACACCCCGTGGGATCCACTCTACGTGGGCTCCCCAGGTCCCAGAGGTATACCCATCTGCCTGTTCTCTGACTCACCAGCCTGGCTGTAGAACAGGAAGCAGAGCTGGGGAAGTTGGGGAATGGGTGGTAGGTTCTAGAAGCCACTCAAATTCATCATGTCCCAATTGAACTGTTGGACAGGATCTATCTTATCAGTGTTCCATTTCCTGTCCCTAGTTGGGCACCCAGGATGGAACTTAGCAGGCACTTGGTGAATGTGTCTTAAACTGAACTGAAAACAGCCCTGAATCATCCATCTGTAAATAGGTGAGCCTTCAGGGCTGCAGGGAGAACGAAAGGAGATACTGCATGTGAAGTTCTGAGTATGCGCTCTGCCATCATTCACCATCGTCATGATCCACGCTGCTATGACTCATGTAGTGCACTTGAAAAAGCACTAGACAGGGCATTCAGAGATGCAGAGTCTAGTCCCAGGCCCCACATTAACTATCAGGGTGACCCTGGGCAAGTCAATTATCCTTTCTGAATTAGTCCTCAATAACCATTATTTTCCTTCCTTGCTTCACTTCCATTATTGAATGGCTCCCTATATTATCCCCACCTCTCCCTTTCTTCAGCATAGATAATTAAGAATTTGCAGCATATCTTGACTTATGAACACTGCATTGATGAATACCCATAATACATAAGCAATCGTTATGACGCCCATCACAGATGTGCTCTGACACCCATCACAGAGGAAACCTCTTCCCGTCTCCCCACTGAGCCATCACCCATGCCCCTACACATTTTTACGTCAAAAAATAGGGAAAAAAAATTAAGCCAGAAGACAATCCTTTAAATACATTACATGTTACAACAAACAAGTTATGTATTTCTTCTTTTCTCACTTCTTTGTGGGCTGGGCAAACGTGATTGTGAATGCATAGGTGCCAGCCTGGACCACTATGTGGGAGCCAAGCCCAGTGACGCGCCTCTGTAGAGTTAAATCACCAGCAGCCTCTCGCCCACCCAGCCCCAGCCCCACCCAAGGGGGAAACGACAACTTCCACCAGCAGAGACAGCACAGAGTCTTATCAAAAACAGCCCTGCAGATCTGTATCAGGGCAACATGCTCTTTCAGAAAATCACTAATATTGTGCCAGGCTATGGAGAATAATGGTCTCTAATTACTCCCATCAGTTCTGGAGAAAGGAGAAGGGCTCCTCCTCACAGCAGCCTTTTTGAGATTTGAAGCCATTTCCTCCCAGTGGGGGCAGGGAAGAGGCAGGGAGCCACATTACCCAGAATTCCTGCGGCTGAACCAGGGCTGACCCCTGGCTTCTTCTGGCTGGCAGTAGCCCAAGCTAATAGGCCAATCAGAGCCCGAGACTAAGGATGGCATTCCCATCTGCCCCACCAGGAAACTGGGCAGGAGTGAGGAAGGGAAGATGAAAGCGTCGATTTTTCTAAGATGATTATTAGGAAAGAAGATTTGAACAAAAACAGCCTGCTGGCAACTAGTCCCTTAAACCATGTCAAGATCAAGACAGTGCAGAGCCTAGACTGACAAAGCCACGTCCCACCACTCTGTGCTCAGAGAATCCTTGTTCTAATGAGGAAGACCCAGCCAGTGCCCCCAGAGAGCTCACAGCCTGATGGGGAAGACACAGCCCCTGCCCTCAGGGAGCTCCCAGTCTGATGGAGGAGACACAGCCCCAACCCCAGGGAGCTCCCAGTCTGATGGAGGAGACACAGCCCCAACCTCAGGGAGCTCACAGCCTGATGGGGCAGACACAGCCCCTGCCCTCAGGGAGCTCCCAGTCTGATGGAGGAGACACAGCCCCAACCCCAGAGAGCTCACAGCCTGATGGGGAAGACACAGCCCCTGCCCTCAGGGAGCTCCCAGTCTGATGGGGGAGACACAGCCCCTGCCCTCAGGGAGCTTGCAGCCTTATGGGGGAGATACAGCCCCAACCCCAGGGAGCTCCCAGTCTAATGAGGGAAACATAGCCCCTGCCTCCAGAGAGCTCACAGCCTGATGGGGGAGACACAGCCCCAACCCCAGGGAGCTCCCAGTCTGATGGGGGAGACAGAGTTCCAAACTTATGACAGGGATCAGAGTCCAGTCATGCTCTCAGCTTCTGCCCAGTCCTCCTCACTCCCTGCCAATGTGCTCTCAGCAGCCTGCCGGAGCCGGCCTTGCAGCGGTGATGGAAGTGAGTGGCTTGGCACTTGTCCTTGCCTTCCCTCCACTGGGCCTAAGTTTGGGCTGGCTCCAGAGGTGAATGGACATCTCTCACACCACCCGGAGAAGAGCTGTGGGGAAACAGACAGAACCAAAGGTAACAGAACTTTGCAGCCAGAGCAGATGGCCCGCCAAGGGCCAACTTCAGCAGAACTTTTCTTGGGCAGAATTCTGTATTCTTTCCATCACCCCTCCTGGATACTATTCTCAATTTTTCCCTTTCTTTCAAAAGCCGGCCTGGCCCACCTCATTCGAGAAGCTGTCAGGGTGACAATCGCACCTCTGCTTCCAGCATTCTGTTTAGGGTAGGCAGCTGCACAGGGCTGCCACTGACATGGCCTTTACTGATGTGACATTTCTGGGGAACTTTCTGGTCTCTTTGGCCCTTTCAGAGGTCCCTGAACTCCCCCGAAGTAGAGCTTGATTTTCAGGTTCTCTTCCATCTGTCCCAGTGCTTCCCAATCCAAGGTCTCTCTAT